GTTGCAAGTGTGAATGGGGCCTTAAGCGTGTATCACGCATTGCGTAATTGGCGCATTGCAAGTGTGAATGGGGCCTTGGCGCAGCAAGTGTGAAGTAGAATAACATTGAGGGCCTCATTCACATCGGGAGCGCTGAGCTGCGTTAATCGGCACCGGTCAACGCAAGCTCAACGCGTGGACACATAGAAGACAATTGTTCTTGATGTTCCCTGTCCACAACATACGTGCGCGGTGGCGCACATCGCATAAAAATGTAAGCAGGGTCCGTGTCCCCATTGGGGAGAATTTCTCTCACTTCCTGTGGGGACAGGAAGTGATGGGATATCCCTTTAGAGCTGACGGAGACTGTAACCTAACACTTTTGTTCAGTTTAAAAAAAGGAACGGCTGGGACAGGGGAGGGCAAACTTCGGCCTCCCCAGCTATGGTGCAACTCCAAATCCCTTCATGCATCTGCCTCTGGGAGTCACGCTTGTGGCTGTGAGAATCTTGCTGTGCCTCATGGGATTTGTAGTTCCGCAACAGCTGCACGGCCGGAGTTTGCCCACACCTGGCCTTAAACCACTGTCAGGTTATTAGTATTGACTTGGTGACAACCGCTCCCTTCATATCTTATCCTGGTGTCACTGGGACAGGAAGTCGAGTGAAATCTTCCCAGCTAGAGTCACAGACAGCATTAGGGCTTTTAAGGACGTTATACCCATCAGCGCCACCTAGGGGCGCTAGTGCCCTGCGAATGGCATCACACCCGGCCATAGCAGTGAACTTTTTTTTAAGTGCGTTTACATATACCATTGACATGCAACGTAATGCCGGAAATCCATAGCCGTCCTGCTCACTCATCTCAAGGAGTCTTATCAGTCTTATCCCAGTGCTTTCCTCGGACCGCAAAACACCTCCCCGTGCCCCGGAGGTGAGCAGAGGTGGAAGAAATCTGTAGATCAGCAAAAGACAACTGAGCAGGGCTGACACTATTTTTTTTGTCCAGTCCAGAGAAGGGACAGTGTTGTCAGCCGGCAACAGGAAATAAGGAGCTGAGTGTATTTCTGGCAGGTCAGTCAATCCGTGTGCCGTGTGATCCGAAACGGGAAGATCTGGGTTACCGCGTCCGCGGCGCGCCCCCCTTGTTAGAATCCTCTCCGCTCCTGCAGGGCGAAGCCGCCGCTTATCAAGTGGAATCTTCAAGCAGATGCGTCAGGAGACATCAACTCCCCCACCTAACCCAGATATGGAGAGAGAACTCCTCGCATGTATTTTTAAATAGTACGGCGCTCCGTCTTTATATTAGCCTCCCGCCGTTCCCTGCACGGCAGGACCCGCGACGGGAAAGGACGGGGGGAGCAGTGCAAGCCAACAGTGCACGGGGGAGGGGGTGGGGGGCAGACTGATTGGAGGGGAGAGCACAGGGACCACCACGTCAGTGTGTCGCTGCTCCTTCGCTGACCAACCACAGGCCGGGCCAAGCTGTATTGCTTTAACCACGGCGTAGAAAAGTGCGGTCAGGAATCGGCGGTGTTGTCTCTGCATTCGAAAAATGGCCGAACCAAGTTCCAAAAATCTTCTCTGCCACTAAGAGGGAGTAAAAATGGCGTGGCACTCTGTCCTCCCCCTAGCAACGGCCATCTTTTTTGCGCATCCCTAGCAGCGGCCATCTGCAACTGACCAATAAGGCCAGGTTCACCTAGGCGACACCTCACCGTGCACGATTCCGCGCGGTCAAGAGTCGCCAAGGTGTGAACCGATCGCGCTGTGGGTGCCATTATTTTCTAACGGCACCCCAGTCGCGCCGGGCGGTTTTCCGCCGCGATTCTGCCCGTACTTCCGAAAACAGACGCGCGTCGTGTATCACAAAAAGGGTACTTGTACCTTTTTTTCTGAGATTGCCGCGCGGATGTCACCCCATCGAAATCAATTAGGCCGCACGGCAATCGCAGCCTGCTTTGTACAGGACCGCACGACACCCGGGATGCGCGTCTTGGTGTAGTGACGGCTCAAATCAGCGGTTGCCCGAAGCAAAGCACCAGTGCTGAGCTTTAACATTTATTTGGCTGGTTGCTATGGGTAACAGCCCAATGTTGCTATGAGGTCGAGCTGGGATTTGTAGTCCCCAAACAATCCAGTCTGAGCTCTGCCCCATCTCATAGGGGAATCTGCCCCCCCCAGAGATATGTAAGTACTATATAAGTCAGGGCAACTCCGGCCCTCCAGCTGTGCTTTCACTACAAATCCCATCATGCTGCTGCCTCTGGGAGTCATGCCTGTGACTGTCGGAGGCTTGCAATGCCTCATGGGACTTGTAGTTCCACAACAGCCGGAGTGGCGGAGTTGCCCACCCCTGCTGTTAGTACTTATTTATTACAGTCACAGGCTTTGCAGTGCATCTGCCATGGCAAGCTGACACTTGTAGTGTCTCCGAAGCTGACAAGGACTCAGTGCTGGTGACTGGGCAAGCTGGGATCGCTAGTCCCCCACAGCTCGGCCCCGTTCCCTCCATCTGCGCCGTCTATACTCAGAATTCTCAAACCTGGCTCCGTTTTCACCAACCATCTTGTGAAGATCTGCTGACAGCCTGCGTTTGTCGCTGGCATGCCATTACATGGCTTCTTTATTCTGACAATCTGCGATCGGGGGCTTCATATTATCATACCCGGGGGATTCACAACCGCCATAACGTGCAAGGGGCGGCCTGCGGTAACCCATAGCAACCAGTCAGAACCCATTGACCGCCTAGGTCAGGGGGCGAGGGACCAGACTTGCAATGCCTCATGGGACTTGCAGTTCCACCACAGCTGGAGGGCCGGAGCTGCCCACCCCTGATATAGGGCAATCTTTCACCTAGGTCAGGGGTGGGGAGCAACCTCCGGCCCTCCAGCTGTGTTGGAACTACAAATCCCATGATGCATCTGTCTCTGGGAGTCATGCCTGCGGCTGTGAGAATCTTGCAATGACTCATGGGATTTGTAGTCTCAACACAGCTGGAGGGCCGGAGGTTCCCCCACCCCTGAACTAGGTGAGGGATCGCCCTATATCAGGGGTGGGCAACTCCGGCCACCCAGCTGTTGTGGAACTGCAAGTCCCATGAGGCATTGCAAGACTCTGACAGGCATGACTCCTAGAGGCAGAGGCCGGAGTTGCCCACCCCTGCCCTATATTCTCCGCCTTACTCCAATGGCAGAACGTTGTCGGCGTGCTGGAAAACATCTGATTCATGGACCGAATAGAAAGATTGTGCTGCTGAGTTTTATGAACATCGTTTGGCCTCCACGAGGCACCCAAACGACTTATAAGGGAGCGATCCCTATCCGCCTTATCTGTGTATTCATATTCTCCATCTGGCTGTAAAAATCAATATGGCTGATGTCTTTTTTTTATTGCTCATCCGAGGTCACGGGCGGTCACCTTTGGTTCCGGCCGGAGGCCATTGAATCGCTCTGTATGTAAAATGTATCAGTAGCAGATAGTATGCTTGGTAGGAGTTGACCCCAGAACCCCAGCGCTGCAAGTGCGCCGCCCACATAGCTCACATTACAACGCATCAATGTGACATCCCATATAGCCGCGTTCCATTGCCCATTCATATCCATGCGTTCCAGTCCTGCGTTTTGCTGCAATGGGTGCACAGTGGCAGTGGCGCAACAATAGCCATAGCAGCCCACGCAGCTGCTATGGGGCCTGGGGGTGGAAGGGGGCCCATTAAGGATTGCAGACGTTGCTGTTGATACTGACCCTGTACCTCAAGTGACATTTCCCATCGAGAAGAGCTGACATCAGATGTATAGGAGACAATGCAGACAACTCACCTGCCACCTGACTTTAATGTAATCGACAATAGGAAGGTCTCCGAGGGGCCCCATCAAAATTTTGCTATGGGGCCCCCATGATCTACAGTTACGCCCCTGCACAGTGGGGTTTTGGATGGCACCTCCAATGCACTAACACAATGCACCCCCCCTTTGCATGCAGGTTGCAATGCATGGTGACACACTGGAGCAGCCAAAATCTGGAGCAGCTGTGCACGGCAACCAATCAGCTTCTCGCTTTCACTTTCAAATCTTAACTGAACAAAGAGAGAAGCCGATTGGTTGCCATGGGCAACTGCTCCAGATTTTGTCTGCTCCAGTTTTGATAAATTCCCCTCACCATGTCTAAAACAAATGGCGCCAGTTTGACTTTTTGTACGTCGCGGCGCTGCGCTACCCCATTCCAATGAATTAGCGGTCTTCGCGTGATGCAAAACAACACTTGTTCATCAACACAGCGCATAGAATGGAACGGTTCCTAAAGCCGAACATACAGCGGTAGATTGTTCATACGAACCTCCGTACGGAAAACCCTCCTCAGAACATTCGATAACGCCACCCGTGGCATGGCGAACGCCGTTTCGAAAGCTTCGTTCACTTCTAGCATTCAACTTTGGAAACGAATGGAGTTCCCCCGAACGAAAAAAAAAAACGCGTTCACTATTCGAGAAAGAAAAACAAAAATATTCCCATCGCGCTCCTTCCATCTCATGCCGTCACTGCGGTCGAAAACGCTCGTCGATTTGACCGCATTAGAAATCAGACGAAACGTTCGCCATGCATATTATTTTTGGAAAGTATGGTGTATGTCCATCTTTAGCCTTTTAGTATACGTCCGACGTTTGATCCTACTTTGCACGGTTGCTACGGGCGATGGCTCGGTTCGCTTGCGCACTGCAGTCGCTGCGCCTGGAGCTGCGCATCACTAAAAAAAAAAAAAAGAAGCAAATTTCAGGCGATCAGCCAGCAGTTGCCACGGGTTACTGCGCTTTGCACTTCCTGGTTGCTCTTTGCTCTGCCTTATTAAATAAAGCCGGCGCGTGCGGTGATTATCTGGAGCGAGTGTCAGCGTTAACCCCCTCCACCCTTCTCTCCTGCTCCCGTCCTGAGTGATTTCATGCCTCCCTGCTGCACCTGTCAGCGTGCCTGCTCATTCTGTTCGTGCCTGTCTTGACTCTCGTGCTTTGTGGTGCTGTCTCAGGTAAGAAAGCCCTGCACGTGGGCGCTCTCTTCCCCATGAGCGGGGGCTGGCCCGGGGGACAGGCCTGTCACCCAGCTGCACAGATGGCCCTGGAGGACGTTCAACTGCACCCCAAAAGTCCAAATTTATCTGCTGGTTAGATGTAATCCTCATCCAGGTGAGAGCATGTGGGGGGTGTAGATGGTGGCTACACAGTCAAGGAGGGCAGAAAGGGCAGGTGGGCAGGTGACACAATGGTAACTTTCTGAATCCAGAAGCCGGGGAAGATCTGCAGGTTCCCATATCGGTCAACTGCACCCCAAAAGTCCAAATTTATCTGCTGGTTAGATGTAATCCTCATCCAGGTGAGAGCATGTGGGGGGTGTAGATGGTGGCTACACAGTCAAGGAGGGCAGAAAGGGCAGGTGGGCAGGTGACACAATGGTAACTTTCTGAATCCAGAAGCCGGGGAAGATCTGCAGGTTCCCATATCGGTCAACTGCACCCCAAAAATCCCGATTTATCTCCTGGTTAGATTCAATCCTCATCCAAAATTATTAGTTTCTGTATAGAGGTTTCTGAATCCCCAGGTCCCGTATTCGGAAAGGTTTGTCCTTGGAAGTGTCCCTGGTTGGCCCATACCTACCCAACTGCACCATAGCAAGCTTTTGCTGCTTCTTCAGTCCGTCGATTATTTTTTTTTTTTTGGGGTGGGGTGGCCCTAAAATGAACCCTCACTGGGGACCAGGGTTTGAAAGAAGCAAATGTGTGCCGGTATTCTAAAAGGAGTCATGTATATTTATAGAGCGCTCTGTAGTTTTCCAAGGCAGCAGTGCGTGTGATGAGTTTAGACACACCGGCTTGGCAGCAGAGAGTCCCTCCAAGTTGTTTACAATTTTTTTCGCGTTGTGCGTCGCACCTGTCCCATAAGAATGGAGCGGCGATGGGTGCAGGACTGAGCCCCCCCTCCCCCTGTACCCATGCGGGAGCGTTTTACTGGCCACTTGGAATCGTTTGCGTGTTTTTGAGCCTTTTTCAGGCGTTCGCAGACTTGGGCGTTTTTGTTTTAGCCAACGGAAAGCTAGTTACTAGGAGGAGGAGACGCTTGTTAGGCACAAAATCGTGCGAAAAACATATTTTTGGGTGCTCCTGTTAGTCTGTAGGTCCGAAAAAAATGCGCGATTCTGTCTGGAAAAAAAAACAAAAAACGCTCACATGCTTTTTCGAGCGACGTGCGACGCAAGGCTCAGGTGTAACTGGGCCCCGTTGAAAATAATCGGATGTTGAGCGTCGACGCACTTCGGGGGAAAAGAGCGACAAAAGGCTCAGATGGTTTATGAAACTGTTCCTCAGACTTCTAATGTGCTGTGGACTCAAGTACCCCGACTATGATGGGCGAGATCAATTTTGGAAGAGAAGTTGCTACTTAAAAAAAAGTGAGAGAGGGACTGGATCTGACAGAGAGCGGACACACACACACACACACACACACACACACGAAACAGTGAAAGTGACAGCACGAGAGAGGCAGCTGGAGGAGAAGTGGGGGAGAAGGACCACCATGGAGTGTGGGGCATGGATGTAGCTTGAGTGACCTTTACTGAGACCCTATATGATGGGGGGAGAGCGTTGGGGGGGTGCAGCCAGGCTCTCTCTCACAGGATTACCCCCTGCGCTCTCATTATTCCTCTCAGCTCCCTCACTGTTACCACGGCAACGGAGGAAAGGGTAAAATATTCCGGAGAAGAGATAGACGGAGAGAGAGGAATGGGCAGAGAGGGGGGAGAGGAGAGACAGATGGGGAGAGAGAGGAAAACATGTGATGGAAGGAGGATAACGATGACTAGGGGGGATCATTATCTATCCGCAAAAAAATAAATAAAATGCATATGTCTGGATGTCTGTGACTTGTTCCTTCTTCCTTCATTTCTCCTTCCAACCCTCCGCAGTGTGACCCCGGGCAGGCCACACGACACCTGTACGAGCTGCTGTACAATGACCCTATTAAGATCATGTTGATGCCAGGGTGCAGCAGTGTGTCCACGCTGGTGGCCGAAGCAGCTCGCATGTGGAACCTCATCGTGGTAAGTGGGAGGCATTGGATAGCCATGTGTGCCTCCAGTTGTTTCTGCTATTCCCTCACTTCTAAGTCCTTCCTTTAATTCCACCTTCCGTTTCCTGTTTGCCTGATATGTGACAAATCTGCCTTTATTTTCACTAGTTTGTCCGTTAGTGATTTACTTCCTCATTATTTTTTGTGTTACAGTCACTTTTTGAACTATACACTTATTATCCCACCTGACCTACCTGTCTACTGGCTTCCCCCACTTTTCATATACTGTATCTCCGGCTACACGTGCAACTCTTGTGTCTTGTTTTCTTCTTTCTTAGTGTTTTATTATCACTTGTTACTCTTTGCTCTTCTTGTCTTCCAGTTTCTGTGATTTTACATCCATTGCTTTTAAAAAATCCTCTCTTCCTCCCTTCTAGTACTCTTCCTTTCTTCTCTTCCTTCTACATTCTCTGTTCTTCTCTTCCTCCTGGATTTCCTTTTTTCATTTTCCTTTCTCTTCCTTCTGCATTCCATGTTCTTCCTCACCTCCTCTTTTCCTGGTGCATTGTCTCTTGTCTTCCTGCATTGTCTCCTTCTTTTCCTCCTGCTTCCCCTGTTTTTTCTCACCTCTACTTTTTCTACTGGATTCTTTCTTATTCCTCTTGCATTCTCCCTTCTTCTCTTTTCCTCTTGCTTTCCCTGTTCTTCTTCATCTCTGCTTTTGCTCAGGGACTCTCTTCTCTTCTTCTTCCTGCACTCTCTCTTCTTCTTCCCGCATTCTCTCTTCTTCTCTTCCTCTTTCTTCCCTTGTTCTTCCTCACCTAATTTCCTCCTGCATTCTCTCTTCTTCTCTCCCTCTTTCTTCCTTTGTTCTTCCTCACCTCTTCATTTCCTCCTGCACTCTCTTTTCTCTTCCTCCTGCTTCCCCATTCTTCCTTACCGTCTCTTTTCCTCCTGCATTCTCTCTTCTTGTTCCTGCATTCTCTCTTCTTCTCTTCCTCTTGCTTTTCCCAGTTCTTCCTCACCTCTTCTTTTCCTCCTGCACTCCCTCTTCTCTTCCTCCTGCTTCCCCTGTTCTTCCTCATCTGTTCTTTTCCTCCTGCATTCTCTCTTCTTCTCCTCCTGCATTCTCTCTTCTTCTCTTCCTCTTGCTTCCCCTGTTCTTCCTCACTTCTTCTTTTCCTCCTGCATTCTCTCTTCTTCTCCCTGCATTCTCTCTTCTTCTCTTCCTCTTGCTTCCCCTGTTCTTCCTCACCTTTTCTCTTTCTCCTAAATTCTACCCTCTTTCTTTTTTTCTCTTCTGTCTATACTCTTTTTCTTTCTTCTTCTCCTTTTTTCTTCCTCCTGCTTCCCCTGTTCTTCCCCAACTTTCCTCTTTCTCCTGCATTTTCTCTCCTGCTTCACCTCTTCTCCGATTTTTCTCTTTCTCCTGCATTTCCTGATCTTCCTCACCTCTAGTTACCTCATAAATTCTCTCTTCATCCTCACCCTTTCTCTTTGTTCTACATTCTCTCTATTTCCTCTTCTCTTCCTCCTGCATTCTCTGTTTTCCGTCTCCTCTTCTTGCTTATCTGTACTTCCTCACTCCTCATTTTCTTCTGCATTCCCTGTGTTTCCCTTGACTCTCCTGCATTCCTTACTTTTCCTGCTTTCTTTCTTTTCTTTCTTCTGAGTTCTCTGTTTTATCTTCACTATTCTCCTTTTCATGTTTTATCTATTCTTCTTTGACACTACCTTATCTCCTTTTCATTCTATGTTCTTTCTCTGTTTGTCTCTTCTCCACCTTTCTTTTCCACCTGCATTCTCTCCTCCTTTTGCATTCTTCGTTCACTCTTCGTTCACATTTTAGTTCTGCGTTCTCTATTCCTTTTCCTTTTTTCTTCTGTTCATCCAACATTTATGTTCTTCCTCCTATCTTCTCTTCCTCATTCCTTCAATTTTCTCTCCTCTCCACCCTTCCTCCTGTTTCCTTTGTTCTTTCCCCTCCCATTCTATCTTCTAATATCTTCTATTAGTCTTAGACCGAACCCCCCCCCCCCACACCTATTTGTCGACTAATCCTCCACCCTCATCTTTTTCCCACCTCTACTTCTAATTTTCCACCTACCATTAGCATAAGCATCTACCGACTTGTGTCATACTGAAATGAAACGTCACAAGGATATATTACACATAGTTACATAGTTACTCAGGTTGAAAAGAGACAGAAGTCCGTCTAGTTCAACTTATATTAAACTTTAACAATCTTTATATCAAGATTGTTAAAGGGGCCCCCATATAAAATAGTGTTGGAATCGTTTTTGATTTCAGTTCTTGTTTCTTGGCATGGTCAGGTGCCGGGGCACCGGTGACGTTCAGGGTTCCTGTAAGATCCCAACACATCAACCTCAACTCCACTCATGGCTTCCTATAAGAGGCATTTTGGAGTTATGACAACAGTTATGGGTATAAATAATAAAATATACTTATGTATAAAATAAAATGGTTTACTCCTCTATGAAGGGATGTGGGCAGAAACTTGCAGGCTGGACCTTTAGGCCCCCATTGTCAGATGTGCATCTAAAGCCTCAGGCTTATGTCCTGGTTGCCACCTAAATTCAGAGCCATTTATCAAACCTGTATACAGTTGTTTCCAGCTTATTAGGTTGCAATAGTATGATATGCAGTCATGGGGTTCTGTAATAAAGGGCTTAGCGCAGACCTGAAAGATGCTTTTTCATTTACTTAGGTAGAAACTTGCATAAGAAAGGGAGAGAGCCAAAGTTTTAGAGGAAAAACTCCGTACTTAAACCCTTTAAGGGCTCATTCGCACTGCTAAGAGCAGGCCCAGATCCATGCGGCGTGCACAACCGTATCGGGCCTCTCCCTGGAAGGACAGGTGCTGCGTGTGATTGTACGCAGCAGCCTGTTCCGTACGCTCACCCGAGCTGCACATCCGTGCCGGTGTCCGTACTCAGATAGGATGGATCCTGTCTGCGTCCGAGCACGGACACCCACACCTGCACAGACGGGCAGTTCGGGTGAGCGTACGGCGGCGTACGGTGGCGTACGGCTGCATACTCCCATAGAAAAGAACAGGCTGCTGCGTACAATCACACGCAGCACCTGTCCTTCCCGGGAGCGGCACGATATGGTCATGCACACCGCGCGGCTCTGTACGGGCCGACACTTAACTGTGTGAATGAGGCCGAACAGGCTGCTGTGTACAATCACACGCAGCACCTGTCCTTCCTAGGAGCGGCCCGATACGGTTGTGGACGCTGCGCGGATCTGTACGGGCCGGCTCTTAGCAGTGTGAATGAGGTCTTAAGCTGAACCCCAGGCAGATATAAAATACACAAAATGAATGCTGCTCTGTATTCATTAATAAATCATTGCGTGTATTTTCCCCCCCAATTACAACGGATATAAATGGCTGATTTTGACTTGTTATCAGTATCTTCCTATTCCTTATACAGCAGAACTCAGACTGGGGGAGGGAGGAAATGACTGTGATTCAATCAACGGGGCTGCATACGAATTTGTTGACAAGGCGCCTTCTGATAGGAGAGTGAGCAGAGACATAATCTCATCTGTCTGCTGCTGCTCCTTCACTGGATAGTGAGCTGGGGGATGGAGAGAGGAAACCAGTGTATTTCATAACTGTAAGTGGTGTCATCTAGTGGCTGTGCTGTGTAAATCTTAGAACTGGATGTACAGAAATACAAATGCTTTAGCACATAAAACAGGGATGTAATATGTATTTCATTTGCGTATTTAGCGTTCTGACTGCTTTAATATCCCACAAGTAATGGCGTATGCGCATTCCTTTGCCATAAGCTGTTTGCTTTTTCTTGCCTTAGTCTCACGCCATTGCTGTCTTCACCTTTCAGCTTTCGTACGGTTCAAGCTCACCTGCGCTGTCCAATCGCCAGAGGTTCCCTACCTTCTTCCGCACCCACCCCTCGGCTACCTTGCACAACCCAACCAGGGTCCAGCTTTTCAAAAAGTGGGGATGGACGAAGATCGCCACCATACAGCAGACCACGGAGGTCTTCACATCCGTAAGTGTTTGGAAGGGAAAGATGGTTAGACAAAGCGCCTGACACCCGCCAAATAGGAGTCTCGGTTCTTTTAAAACATTGGCCTACTTAGGGTAATCGGAACACAGAACATGGGAGCTCCTCTGTACCCCAACTAGTCAGATTTTGTATTTGGTATGATAGGTGCCAAATCCATGCAAAGGGAGAGATAGTGTAGGGTCTCCTACCTTCACTTCATTCCATCACTTCAGCATTTAGTACTTCCCACGAAAGTCGGATGCTTGTGTTTCCCACTGTGGTTCCATCCTCTGACCCCTAGATCACTACAGGACACAGCAGTGATAGGGGTTGGAGGATGGAACCACAGTGATTGGCAGGGGATCCTGGAACCACAGTGACTGGCAGGACACCTTGGAACCACAGTGATTGTCAGGGCACCTTGGAACCACAGTGACTGGCAGGACACCTTGGAACCATAGTGATTGGCAGAGGACCTTGGAACTATAGTGATTGGCAGGGGACCCTGTAACCACAGTGATTGGCAGGGGACCTTGGAACCACAGTGATTGGCAGGGGACCTTGACACCACAGTGATTGGCAGGGGACCTTGGAACTACAGTGGTTGGCAGTGGACCTTGGAACCACAGTGACTGGCAGGGGACCTTGACACCACAGTGATTTTCAGGGGACCCTGTAACTACAGTGATTGGCAGGGCACCTTGGAACTACAGTGACTGGCAGGGGACCTTGACACCACAGTGATTGGCAGGGGACCTTGGAACCACAGTGATTGACAAGGGACCTTGGAACCACAGTGACTGGCAGGGGACCTTGGAACCACAGTGACTGGCAGGGGACCTTGACACCACAGTAATTGGCAGGGGACCCTGGAACCACAGTGATTGGCTGGGGACCCTGGAACCACAGTGATTGGCCGGGGACCTTGGGACCACAGTGATTGGCAGGGGACCTTGGAACCACAGTGATTGGCAGGGAACCCTGGGACCACAGTGATTGGCAGGGGACCCTGGAACCACAGTGATTGGCAGGGGACCTTGGGACAACAGTGATTGGCAGGGGACCTTGGGATCACAGTGATTGGCAGGGGACCCTGGAACCACAGTGATTGGCAGGGGACGTTGGAACCACAGTGATTGGCAGGGGACCTTGGAACTATAGTGACTGGCAGGGGACCTTGGAACTACAATGATTGGCAGGGGACCTTGGAACTACAGTGATTGGCATAAGACCTTAGAGCCTTATGGAAGTTGCACAGCTTTTATGGAGAGAAGGTAGGAGACACGGGCCACCGGAAGGGTGACTCTACTATCCTTTCTTTAGCAGGAGCTGCCTTGGCTAAATTCTTGTGTAGATGCTTACTTATAAAGTTTTATTAGGCCCAGAAGGTCTCTTTGTGACTGTAAATACAATATACAAAACTCTGGATTTACATTAAAATATAATGAAACCCATTCTGAGGCGCCGTTCCATCCTCGAGCCAGAACACATTGACTCTTGTCTTCCTAGACCTGATTTCAATCTCCACAGATCTCTGAGGCTTTCTAAAAGAGGTGAGAAGATATCACAGAGGCTGTAATATCACACAACCTCATTATCATCTTAATACCAGGAGCCCTGATCTTTACAAGAAAAAAAGAATCCCGCAGGTCCCCGTAATTAGACTACGCGTTTCAACTTTCAGGGAAGCTCTTTATTAATGATCTTCCGTTTTATTTTATTTTTCAGACTCTTGATGATCTAGAGGAACGAGTGAAAGAAGCGGGCATTGAGATCACATTCCGACAGAGCTTCTTCTCTGACCCGAACATCCCGGTGAAAAATCTCAAGGTGGGTACTTTGTGTCCGGCATGTCCCAAGGAGAACTGGCGTTGCTAGAGATTACGATTCACCGAAGTGCTCTTCTCCTTCCCATGAGACTCTCCTGGAGTCAATAGCGAGGACGGCTCCTCTGGAATTGACTCTCCATGGGGTTAATAAAGCCGGCTAATTGCCTTCACTCAACCTGATTCCTTTCACGCATCTCCTTTTCTTTCTTGTGTCTTCTTCTCCCTTTGTCACCATTCCTCCTTGTTCTTTCCTTCTCTTCATTTTCCTTATCTTTTCCGTTCAGGTACCCAATTCTCTATCTCGCCATCTCCGCTACCAGGCCTCTTTCTCTCACCGCTTTTTATCTCTGCCTTTCAGAGACAGGATGCAAGAATAATAGTCGGCTTATTCTATGAGACCGAAGCACGGAAGGTCTTTTGTGAGGTAAAGTGAAATTGCTGTTACTGCTTTCTGCGAGGGAGAGTCTCTCTTTTCCTCGTGCCCTTCTCGTCCTTTTTTTTTTCAAATAATATCAATGTCGGCTCACACATCTAAAAAAATGTGAATTTGTGATTCAGACCTCTCTCTTTTTTCGTTCTTCCCACCCTTGCTTTCTTGTGCTCTTTCTTCTTGTTTGCATTCCTTTTTCTTTCTTTTCATAGTTACTTTTCTTTTTACCTTTACTTCTTTATGTTTATCTTCATCCATCTCTTAGTGTTTCTCTTTATCTTTTCTTCTTCCTGTTTTTCTTTTCTTCTTTTTTCTTCTTTTATTGTTTCGTTTGACCTCTCTCAGCTTCTTTTCATCTTTTCCTTCCTTCCTTCCTCTACCCTACTCTTATATCTTTTCATTTTTTTTATCTTTCCCTTTTTCCATTTCTCTTTATCTTTTTTCTTCTTCCGTTGTTATTTTATTTTTCCCTCTCTTCGTTTCTCTTTTATCTTTCCCACCCTACGTTTCTCTTTTATCTTTCCCTCTTTCCATTTCCCTTTATCTTTCCTTCTTTCCCTACTCTATTATCCTTCTCTTATTCCGCTTTTCATAATTTCTTCTACATTCCTTTTTATCTTTCCCTTTTTTTGTTTCTCTTTATCTTTCCCTATCTTCATTTCCCTTTTATCTTTTCATTTCTGTTTATCTTAATTTAAATTATTTTTTTATCTTTGCTTTATTTAGTTTCTCTCTACAATCCTATCTTATCTTCTCTTCTTTCTGTTTCTCTTTATCCCTCACTACCTTAATTTCCCTTCTATCTTCCCTTCTTTCCGTTTCTCTTTATCCCCTCACTACCTTCATTTCCCTTTTATCTTCCCTTCTTTCCGTTTCTCTTTATCCCCTCACTACCTTCATTTCCCTTTTATCTTCCCTTCTTTCCAATTTCTCTTTATCCTTCCCTATCTTCATCTTTATCTTTTCCCTTTTTCTGTTTCTTTTTAATCTCTCTCTCTCTTTTCATTTCTCTTCATTGCCCTCTGTCTTTGTTTCTGTTTTTGTCTTTCCTTCTCTCCGTTTTCCATTTTTCCTATCTTATGCCTCTCTCTATGTCTCTCAGTTTTTAGTATCTTCTCTCTCTGTTGCTCCTTCTCTCTCTCCATGCACTTATTTGTTTTTATACCATCGGGTGAATTTTTGCCTTCCTGTAGCCTTGATTGTTTTACTCTCACATTCGTAGATAATATCAGATTTTCTGCTGTTCCTCAGGTCTACAAGGAACGTCTCTTCGGTAAGAAGTATGTCTGGTTTTTGATTGGTTGGTACGCGGACAACTGGTTCAAGACTCCTGATCCGTCCATCAACTGTACAGTGGAAGAGATGACTCGAGCTGTTGAGGGTCATGTGACCACAGAGATTGTCATGCTGAACCCAGAAAACACCCGCGGTATTTCCAACATGGTAGGTCTGATGACTTGTAAACGCACCTTAACTTTTTTCTTTTCAGATCTCTCTTTTGATATTAAGATTTCCAGCTGACCCCCGTCCTTCCCTTCAGTCTTATATCTGACATCCGGCCTCCCCTTCACTCTTATATCTGACCTCCGGCCTTCCATTCAGTCTTATATCTGACATCCGGCCTTCCCTTCATCCTTATATCTGACCTCCGTCCTTCCATTCAGTCTTATATCTGACCTCCGGTCTTCCATTCAGTCTTATATCTGACCTCCGGTCTTCCATTCAGTCTTATATCTGACCTCCGGCCTCCCGTTCACTCTTATATCTGACCTCCGGACTTCCATTCAGTCTTATATCTGACCTCCGGGCCTTCCCTTCAGTCTTGCACAGTTTTACCGGCTCCTCTCCTGGACTGAAATTGCTTCCTCTGATGTCACTGCAGACTGGGAGCTTCTCACAATGTCCATTAGAAGCTGCAGCAAGTCACATAGAGCCCCCCCTCATTTGCTGGCTGGAGGACGTCCAGCATCATCAGAGCCAGGTATGAGAATTCTGGTATAGACAGTACAGATGGAGGAAATAGGGCTGAGCTGTGAGGTACTGGCGATACCAGCATGCCCAGTCAGCAGCACCGAGACCTGTCAGATTTGGAGGCACTACAAGTCCCAGCTTGCCATGGCATATGTACTGCATACACCGTGACTGTAACACATAAGTACTCGCAGCAGGGATGGGCAACTCTGGCTTTCCAGCTATTGTGGCACTGAAAGACTGACAGTTACAGGTGTGACTCCCAGAGGCATGTTGGGATCTGTAGTTAAAGCACAGCTGGAGGGCTGGAGTTGCCCACCCTGATCTAGCCCTTACCTCCCCAGCATTAACGTTCCTGGATAGCCTCTTTCATTAATTGGATTGCAGTTTTTTGTCCAATCATGGAGTCTCAGCATCAGATGTGAGCATTACTTGGGATGGTTTTCTTGCAAATACAGCCTGCCTAGGGGCGTCCTCTCTCCCAGACTGAAACCCACCCCCCCCGGCATTTTGATATTTGCATAACTCCTCCCAAGAGCCAGCCCACTGCTTGCATCAGGGAAGAGGGCTTTTGATAAGAGTACTGAGACAGGGTGCTGTGCTGCCAGCCCCTCCCACCATAGAGAAGCACAGAGGACCAGTGATGACATGACTGAGTTCTAAAATAAGGAATGTAATAAAAACCAGAAAGATTTTACCAAAAAATATAATTAACATACTGCTTGAGGTGGGAGGGGCAGGTAAGGCAAAATAGAAGCATATTAAATGTTAGCTTGATCCATACTTGAAGTGTATCGCTTCGACTTTTTCATAGACATCTCAAGAGTTCATGGATAAGCTTCAGAAACGTCTTGGCAAAGATCCAGAAGGAGTCGGAGGTCTACAAGAAGCTCCCCTGGCCTATGACGCCATCTGGGCCCTGGCCCTGGCCCTCAACAAGACCTCTTATGAGCTGTCCAAGCGAGGACTGCGCCTAGAAGACTTCAACTACAACAACGACAACATCAGCCGGGAGATCTACAAAGCCATGAATACCTCTTCCTTCGATGGCGTCTCGGTGAGTCCCCTTCCATGCATCATCGCCTCCCTGATTTATATGGCGGTGTCACTTTTCTATCACCAACTTTCCTGCTCGCTGCTTATCGCTTTTGTTTCATCATGTCGTTATATCTGACTCATCTCCCGCAGCCAGCACAAGAAAAATGTCCTTGTCTCTTAGGAGGCGTCAGCATTTCCCTTCTTTGGAATGTTATTAGCGTTCGAAGAAGAAGAAAAAAAAATGACAAGATTATTACCGCTCTGCTTGTACGATGGCCCCCATAATGGCCTGGCCAAGGACGGCGTTCTGCCTTTTGTTGCATCATGCCAATTGCTTACGGCTGAACCCCAGGAAAACGGATAAATACACAGACGAAACATATTAATGGGGGTTGATTTACCTGCGTAAGGATTTGTATTTCAGTCCTGAGATTTACGCAGCTCTGCCTCACAGCCAGGGCCATCCCTACCCTATCTGCCCTCTGAGGGCCATCCCTACGATATCTGCCCTCTGAGGGCCATCCCTACCCTATCTGCCCTCTGAGGGCCATCCCTACCTTATCTGCCCTCTGAGGGCCATCCCTACCCTATCTGCCCTCTGAGGGCCATCCCTACCCTATCTGCCCTCTGAGGGCCATCCCTACCCTATATGCCTCCGAGGGCCATCCCTACCCTATATGTGCTCTGAGGGCCATCCCTACCCTATATGCTCTCTGAGGGCCATCCCTACCCTATATGCGCTCTGAGGGCCATCCCTACCCTATATGCGCTCTGAGGGCCATCCCTACCCTATATGCGCTCTGAGGGCCATCCCTACCCTATATGCGCTTTGAGGGCCATCCCTACAATATATGCGCTTTGAGGGCCATCCCTACCATATATGCGCTTTGAGGGCCATCCCTACCCTATACACGCTCTGAGGGCCATCCCTAACCTACACACGCTCCGAGTGCCATCCCTACCCTATATGCGCTTTGAGGGCCATCCCTACCCTATACGCGCTCTGAGGGCCATCCCTACCCTATATGCGCTTTGAGGGCTAGGTGACACCCGAAGCGGAGACCGGATGATACCCCGTCGTGACGTCATCGCACGTGCGTGGTCGTCTTATTGACGCCTGCCGACGGCCATCTTGGTGATGGACGCCGGCAGAGAGAGGAGGGGACGTTCACCCCGCGGGATGAGGTATGCCGCCGGGTCCCCTCCTCTCTCCTGACACTGTCGGGCTCTTGGTCCGTGACCGAGTGCCCGACTTTTCATAGGGGGGTGACACCAAAATGACTGACAGCCGCACCCCCCGCGTGACGCCACTGCATGCAGCTTTGCTGGATGAACAGCTATGCGGATTTAGTATAAATAGGCCCCTATGCATGTTTCTAGTCTTCCGGGGAGCGGTATAGATCTTTTGGGTAATTGGATAGTCAGTAAAAGAGCGTCGCACACACCCATAACAATCAACCGAACATGGAAATACATTCATTGTAGCCGGTTCATTTCTTTATTGCTCTTCGTGCTGATCTGATCGTTTCTACCTTTGTGTTCCCATTGTTTTCACATTGACATAACTGTCAATATCGCGTCCCGATGACGGCGCTGCCTTCTTGTGCTGAGGTTTGACCTTTGTTCCTTCAATCCTCAGGGTCACGTGGTGTTTGATGCCAGTGGTTCCCGTATGGCCTGGACACTTATTGAACAGTTGCAAGGTGGGTGTTCTGAATCCGCTGAGCGTTCCATATTACGGCTGTGGAGGAATAGGATGATATCATAATATTAGTACCTCTGACTATGGTGCAAAGACAGCGTATACTCACCTCTCTGGTGGCTTGTTCCTTCTATCTCTCCTCTGTTTCAGAGCTGCAGTTTGGAATGCCATTCAACACTTCTGAGAATGTTGGATCTTTGTGCCCCCCCCCCCTTTGCAGCACATTGGTTCCTTCCTCAGCCCCCTACATCACTACAGGACACAGCAGAGGCATAGGGGGGGCGGAGAAAGGAACCAACGCATGGTGGGGAGTAAGGATGCACCGATACTCACAGATACCGAGTAGTGGTGCTGTGTGTCCCGATTATCAGGAAGTCGGGCGGCAGATCATGAACCATCACACGGCTTTCCGATTGCCTGTGAAGCCGGTGTTCCAGCAAAAGAACACCGCCTTCCCTTTGCCGAGGCTGCCTGGCTTCCTGACCAATCAGGAAGCCGGACGGCGAGTCATGAGGTGCTGTCTGGCTTACCTAATTGGTCAGGAAGCCATACTGCCTAGCAACAAGTGCAGCAGGCTTCCTAGCCAATCAGGAAGCCGGGCGGCACTTTATGACCCATCTCCCGGCCTCCTGATTGGCTACGAAGCCAGCTTCACTTGTTCTTAGGCAGCCTGGCTCCTGACCAATCAAGAATCCAGGCAGCCTAAGAGTACTGCTGCTCAAATTCCTGTATTGGAGGTGACAGGTTCAAGAAAGAAAACCTGTCACCTCCAAATGCTATCACACAGCGGCTTGTTAGCTCCTGTGCGATAGCAATAACATTAAGTGAAAAAAAAAGTATAAAAAGTTAAAAATAATAAGCAATAAAATAAAAAAATATATAAAAAAGTAAAACATTGTAACATAAATAAATGATAAAAGATAAGACAAATAAAAATGTAAAAAAAAGAAATAAAAAAAAAAGTGATAAATTAAAAAACAATAAAGAAAAAATTTTGGCACCGGCCTTGGGGCAACAGAGAGAGTAAATCCTGCTCTGAAGCCAGCTCTAAAATGTGGACAGGCAGCGGTAGGTAGACATCCAAGTGATCAAGGTCGGTGCCTATTGCACAGTTTGACCTCTTGTGTCCTTCATCTCTACAGTTTTATTACAGAGTAGATTGCTTAGCT